TATAACAACATTTTATGTCTGTTGAAATTCCATCCACAAGGAACCGTTACATAATATATCCCAGACATGATGCCTGAAACCCTTTCATCTTATCGTATTGCGAAGAAAATGATTCGCCATTTTAGTAATATTACATTCCTTCGTACATGCAAGTCACACAAAGTTATACCCTACGGCCTACGTGCAACGAATGTTCTCATCAATACTTCCAAGTCACCGCTAGCAGAAAAGTTGGTTTTAAAACACAGCAGACAATGGTTACAACTGGCAATTGACACCCAATATACACAACTTTCTAAAATTCGTCGCTATGTGTTCCCGCTAGTTTATCAAGAAGACCGAGACATAGTCCAGCTTCAAAACTCCCTGAACCGTACTAAAGAACGCAAGCTCCAACAGTTATTGTTTCGAAATCGGAAAGAACCTAAAACAACCAAGTCTAGACCACAAGGCTTTAAAAATTTATCATCCGAAACGTTAGATCCTAAACTTCTAGACATCCTTAACAAAGGACCCTCGTTCGTCAACGCAGATCCTAGGAGATTATCACAACTATGCTTAGAATCCAAAGCCAGTTTACAACTTGCAACGGACAAACTCAAGGATGAAAACGTGCCTGACCATGCTATAAATGAGTTCAAGGGTGGAATTGCTCGTATTATTAATGAAACCAAACATGCTGGCGTTCATATCCTAAATAAAAAGAAATTACCGTGTGAGCCACCCCCGGAAACTATAGTCATTACACCTTCGGACAAGACGAAGCGTCTACTTGCATTGGATGCTACTAGTTACAGAGATATGGTGAGTAAATCCACGATTGACACTGGTAATTACAGACCCCTTAAGAAATTAAATCTCCCTCGAACTGAACAAATAAAATTTAATAAATCTCTGAACAAAGTTGCCATTAAGTACAAGACTAATCATTCCAAACTATTTTATGATCTAAAAGCAACAATTTGTAGCGAACCAATGCCATGTCCTGTTTATTGTTTACCTAAA